AGTAAATGGGCAGGTGTCCTTTTCAGAGTCTCATCATCTTACTCCTCAGATCTGCTTCCTGTGTTGTCACTATATCCACGTTTACAACAGTAGGAAACAGAATTTTGAACAGTTAATTTAAATAATGTTTTCAACCTTCTTTCTGCCCTGACTCTCCATATCCTGTTAATCCAAGGACACTCTGGGTGAGAATGCTCTGTGATCAGTTTGTCCTTCAACTTTCCCTTCAGCATATTTCTCTAAATACTTTACTTTTTTCAGATAGCTTTGTCCCCTGCTGATGTAAAAGGGGGAGTAGTACCAAGGGATATGGCGGCAGATTTTGCCACTTGCTGTTGCTGAATATGAGTTTTGTGGGACAGGGCTCTTAATACACATGAACATGTTGGGGGGGCCCCCCTCCTCCTCCAGCAAAAGATGTGGGGGAGGAGTGCTTGAGCATCATATCCTTTGCCTCTTTGATCATCTGCCTCAACGCTGTCCTTATGCTGAGTTTCTGAATGGATGGGGCACCTCAAACAGCCCTAACTGTCCCTTGTTACCTGCAGTGTTGTTTGCAGAGGGCTGGAGAAGCAAGATTTAAAAAAAAAAAAATCCCCCTCCCAACCTACTTTCTGTAATAACTAAAATAATAAACTACAAGCAAGTACACTTCCATACTTCAAGCAAAAGGCCCCACCTGAAGCAGACTTCTGGCCATCCTGCCAACATATTCTATACAGTATCTCATTTCATAGAACAGAACGTGTCACTGGACTTTTAAATACAGTAGAACCTCAAAGATACGAACACCAGAGTTACGGACCGACCGGTCAACCGGACACCAAGTGAAGCCATAAGTAACCAATCAGGCAGCAGCAGAGACCCCCCCCCCCTAAAAAAAAAAAAAGCAAATACTGTACTGTACCTGTATTACATCTTAAAGGTAGGCACATCTGGGCCATCTGTCTCCACCCCACTCCCACCCCCACGCACGGGGCAGCCACTTACAGCAAGACAGTGGGGTTGCCAGTCCAAGGCAGCCAGAGCCAGCCAGCAGAGCAGGGTCTGCATTGCTTTCACCCCACCTCCCGCCGGGGAGGGGGACAGGCTGTTTTCAGACACACCTCTGCAGATAGGGGGACAAGCTTGCAAACTCATGCAGGGGCTGAGTAGGGAGCAGCTCAGCTGCTGCTGAAGCGTGGCCTGGAGTGTCAGCTGCTGGATCTGGAGCCTGTACTGTGCTTTATTCAGAGTTACAAACATTTCAAAGTTACGGACAACCTCCATTCCCAAGATGTCCGTAACTCTGAGGTTCTACTGTAGGTATTCTGAGCAAGTTGAGGCATTCCATAGCATCTGCGCCCACCCCCCAATCACATACCTTTCTATACCCAAAAAACTTGCAGAGACTCCTCCACGTATCAAATTAGGATTCAGCCTTCAAGAATGTTCAACTCTCCTTTCAAGGTACTTGTCCACTGATCCCAGTGTGGGGGTCACAGTGGATGGACAGCCAGAGGAGGCAAAGAATTCTTAACAGTGATCAGTGAAATAATGAGGGCTTAGATTGCCTAGCTTAATGTCATCAAGGGAGGATAGGGGAGGGCCATTATAGTTCATTTAAACTGGCCAATGTAATTGCAGCAAATTAAAATTCTTTTTTACACTTAAAAATGTACTCTGCACTGCATGCACACCCAGATATCTCAAATTCTTGAATACATGTGACATTCTGTACCTCGAGGGAACACCCTGCACCCCCCATGTTCATCTTTATAATATGATAGTGTGGTATGCAAAGTTTGTCATGTCGGGTGTCTTTGGAAGGCTCATGATGCACTGAGCATTGTTGTAATGTTATAGTAATTATTGTTACAGTAATGTTACAGGTTGTAATTTTATGTATATAGTTATGAGACTGAAAATGTGTCCTCGTAGCTTAAAACAAGCCCAGACAAAAACTCTCCAAGAGCAGAGGGGCAGTTCATACCTCATCAGGGCACGTATGGGACAAACCCAGCCCAGCCTCACAGGAACGAAGGACACTGGCCTAGGTAGCAAGAAAGGATCTGTTGCACTCTCAAGTGAGTCACCGCCCTTTCCTTAGTCAGTTTGGGACTGCGATGAGGAAATGCTCACCTGACTCTCAAGGGGGGGGGGGCAAAGCCAAGAGGGAAGAAAGAACATGATAAAAGGGAGAGACGTTTGCCATGCTCTTCCTCTCTCTTCCACCTCCATCTACAGACATCACCACCAAGCGACTGAAGCGCTGATCAAAGGGGAAAGCCTAGCTGAAGGGCAACCAGCCAGCCTGTGGTGAGAAGCATCTAAGTTTGTAAGGACACTGAAAGTGTTGAGATCAGCTTAGAATGCGTTTTGCTTTTATTTCATTTGACCAAATCCGACTTATGTTTTGACTTATAATTACTTAAAATTTATCTTTGTAGTTAATAAATCTGTTTATTCTACCTGAAGCAGTGCACTTGGTTTGAAGCATGTCAGAGAGTCCCCTTGGGATAAAAGCCTGGTACATATCAATTTCTTTGTTAAATTGACAAACTCATATAAGCTTGCAGTGTCCAGTGGGCATAACTGGACACTGCAAGACGAAGGTTTCTAGGATTGTGTCTGGGACCGGAGATATTGGCTAGTGTCATTCGGTTGCACAATCCAAGGAGCAGTTTACATGCCAGAGGCTGTATGTGAACAGCCCAGGAGTGGGAGTTCTCACAGCAGAGCAGGGTCAGGCTGGCCCCCAGAGTCAAGGTTTGGAGTGACCTAGCAGATCACCGGTCCGGATAACACCAGGGGAACGTCACACGTAAGGAGGCTTTGCAATACTACAGCTTGAGTGAGCACTAACCAGAGGTCAGTTAAAACCAGTGTTGGAGTTATGCCAGGTCTTGTCTGCCAACTGGTGTCTAGAGTTAAACAGCAATTATTAAGGCATCACACATGGTGGCTAGACTCACTAACTGTTCAGCTGAAATTTTATACTGAGATTCACCGTGGTGTGTTGACCGCAGCCATACTAAGTGAGACAAAATGGAACCACCTCCTAGCCATGGGCTCTGTATTAAACTTGTCTCCACTGGAAGCTGGTCTTTGTATATGTTACACCCAGCAGGGCTGAGCCCTGACAGTTCAGTACTCTCTGGTCTCTGGTGATTTATCTGGTATCCTGAAAGGTGGTGGTAAAGAGGGAGAGACTAGTGCTGGCAGGTGAAATCCAATACTGATGTAACATTATTCATGGAATTCAGGGGTAAGCCCAGAAGCTCCTTGGTGTGAATTCATCCTTGGACCAGCACTACTGATTTCAGTGTACTTACAACTGGGATGGATTTAACCCTGTTGTCCAAAAATCAGAAATGTACGGTACTGCATTTCCTCATACTCACACCGTCTTTGTAGAACCATCATCAGGAAAACAAAAAATGACTGAAGGATTACCCAAAATTAAACCGAATACTTTCAAAAATACAAATGTATCAATCCCTGCCCAACTCCCCACCAAATAACCTACACTAACAACCATTCTAAAGTTAACTCTATACAAATTGATCAAAACACGACCTACGCAAGTGTGCTAGAGTAAGGACCCTGCTAACCATTTCAATCCCTCTGCATCAGTGATAGAAAGGAACTTGAGAGGCAGTTGGCCCCTGTGACAGCATAGTCTGCCCATGAGATTACAAAAAGAACATTCACAGATTGCCTGGTTAAAATGAAAATTAGAGACTACTTTGGTGAGAAATTTCAGCTGACACACTAGGACTCTTAACTCACCTGATCATTTGGCCAGGATAATGGCAACTAAAAATGCTACCTTTATAGAGAGGTGGAGCAGAGAGTAAAATTGTAATGGCAGTCCCATCAACTCTGGTAAAACCAAGTTCAGATCCCAAGGAGGGATAGGAACAGATTTAAAGATTTTTATTAAGATGATGTTAAAAAAAAAGTGAACGGTACAGAGTTTAAGCATAGAAATTTCTGGTTATCAGGGAATAACGTACAGATTATCGAGGGTGAAAAATTTGGTTTAAGATCGGGCGGCATAAGGAATACATAATCTGCAATATCCCCGATTGGGGGTAAAAGGTTGATGGGTCAAAGTACAGGCATTGAGATATGAGGGTATAAGGTTCATAAAGTGGCTATGTTCGGGTGTGGAGTATAATGAGTGGATATGATGATGAGGATGGATTGACCCTCATTTGGTGAGATTTAATGTTCAGGGAGTTTATGGTTCCAGTTCATATGATCCAACGGAGAAAGTCTCTTGGTCCCTTTCTCGTAGTGGGAGAACGATGTCACTCTGGCTCACGCCTCCTGCTACTGTCGGTGGCTGGTGATGTGCTCGATGTAGATGTCCCTGGACCATAGGATGGTATCTGAGACCATGAGGCGCCGCATGAGCTGTGCGTAGTGTTGACCGATCCCGCAGATCCGCAGCACACGCTTGTTGCAGGGGTCCCAGGCGCCCAGGACTCAGACGATCAGGGCGTCCATCTGCACCTCGTAGCCCTTCGCTCTCAGGGTGTAGGCCAGGGGGGCGTACTTTTCCAGCTTACGAGCTCTGGCTTCGCGAAATGCCAGGGTCCTGTTCTCAAAGGAGACCGTGACGTCGACAAGGATGATCTTTTTCTGGGCCTCGTCGGTGACGACAGCATCAGGTTGTAGCTGGCTGTCGGTACAGGGGATGGTGCAGTTTACAGCGACCTCCCCCAGGCATGGTGTGATGGCTTTCACCAGGCGGTTCTGGATGGCGTTGTGGCGCATCTGCCAGGCTCTGGAGTGGGGTTTGAAGCTGCACAGGACGTGGGGCAGGGTCTCGTTGGAGTAGCCGCACTTCCTGCAACGCTTGTCTTGGTTCCCGTGGCGGACCGCTCCATTGAGCGGGACGCAGTTGAGCCGGGCACGGTGGATGAACTGCCAGTCGGCGAAACGGATGAAGCCGCCCCCGGCGAGGAAGTGGTTGCTGGTGTCCCACTTGCTGGTCAACTCAAAGGCTTTACCCTGGTCCAGTTTACGCTTCAGGCTTTCCATGTACAGCGAGTGGATGGCGACCTTCAGAGTCCTCTCCAGCACGCCCCGGCGCTCGGGGTGACGATGGTGTTGTCGTCTGCTGATCCGCTTCTCTGTCACATCACGCAGGACGTTCACCGCGATGTTCCTTACCGTGGCGTCGGGACACGTCAGCAGGCAGAAGGCGTGGGTGATCACTGCAACGTCGCACAGGTCACCCATGCAGGGGACGTTGGCGCCGCCGTGCCTGTGGGCGATGTAGACCAGCTCGTTGCTGGCTCTCTGGGGAAGGAACAGCCACTTCTTCACCAGCTTCCAGATGATCTTGTCTGCCTTGTTGAGGGGCACCTTCGCCACGGCGGATCCCCTTAGGGTGAACAAGATGCGTGGGATCAGGAAGGTGTTCAGGGCGTTTATCTTCTGCCACGGTGCCAGCAGGGAGGCATCAATCTTGGCGGCGTCCAGCAAGATCTCCTGGATGGTGTCCTCGGGTGTCTGCCGGACACGGAAAAACTGTTGGCGTTACAATCTGACTAAGCCCTTTAGGAATCTGGTGATGATGGGGTTGGAAAAACGGGATCTATTATCCACCAAGGTGTGCAAGGCCCAAATAGCTGCAATATGTATTTGTACAGAGCTAATAGCCGAACTCTAATGGTTTAGGTATAGAAGGTAGTGCAGTATGACGTTCAGGGGTGCCTGCTCCGGAGATACTCCTTTCTGATAGGACTAAATGGAGAAGCACTTCAACTTAGCCAGGTTGCAGGGGGACCCTAGTGGGAGGACGGAATCTAGAATGGCCACTGCTTTGGGCCTGGGACTTATCCTTGACCAGGCCATTGCCAGTGCTGAGATTCCTGCATAACCCATGTTTCCCATGTCTCTGATGAAGCGTGTGCCCTCGGTCTTGGATGGGACACAGACAAATGCATTTCTAAGCCTGAAGAAGAAGAATCAAACGAATGACAGCTGGGGGGCAGAACCAGTTGGAACTGTGGACATGTAACTTGAACCTGGGGATGTTGGTGCTAGGGATATCTTCAGAGGCTTGCCTTTCAACTGCACTGGCCTTTGCATAGGCTTGGGAGGCAATCGTGCCACGGGTTCCTGCTGTGATGAGGTAGGAGCTGCAGGTTTCAGAACCGACTGTAAGCCTTCCTACATCGCCTGGGATACTGGTACTGAGTGGATAAGCAGATCCCTTGTGGCTGCATATGCCTCTAGGGTGGTTGAGAGTGGCAATGACTGATGGCTGTACCACAGCGATTTTTCAGGGAATGCCCTTGACAGACCTAGCACAAGCTCCAGAGGTGAGGAACCCTTCTTCTTAGCTGAAGAGTGCTCTAGCAAGAGTGCTCTAGCTGAAGAGTGCTCTGCCCCTACTTGGCTTCGGTACTAACATACCCAAGCCAGGTACCTAACCTGAGGAGGGCCTAGGCCTTTTCTTCAGCACCAGTGAAAGGGACCGAGGAGCTGCAGACATCTCTGGTGGGTCGCTCCATACCAAAGCTGATGTACTTGGAGCGCTCTCCCTATGAGATGAATCCCCTGGAGGCTAAAATGCTGCTTCCATGGGTAAACACTTGAGAGTCACCACTCTTTCTTTCATTGAATGGAGCTTAAATCTTTTATAAATGTGACATTTGTCACTGACTGATGTGGGATTCTTCAAAACATTTTAAGCAGGTCAGGTATGAAGCCTGGTATTAAAAGATAAAAACTTGTTTAAACTAAAATCTAGCATTTAAAACTAACTTAAACTTATATATATAATATATTAGTTATCTCACATCATAGGATTTTAAAAATCATCAATTTCACAGTTTCAGATATTTACATCTGAAATTTCATGGTGTTATAACCTTGTGGTGCCGACCCAAAAGAGGGTTGTGGGGCAGGGTCGCAAGGCTATTGTAGCGGGTCACGGTATTGCCACCCTTATTTCTGTGGTGCTGCTGACAGGCACTGCCTTAGAGCTGGGCAACTGGAGAGCAGCAAATAGCACAGACATGAGGGTTGCATGGTATGGGAGGGTCATCACTTTTTTGGGGGTGCAGGGCTGGCCTTACAAGTAGGCAACTGTCCTGTGATTGGGGGGGCCTTGTGGTCCCCCTCCCACAGCCAGTCCAAGGCCCCTTTAAGCCCCAAGCACTGGGTCCAGAGCCAGGGAGGGGCAGCTCCGTGATTGCTCCCTATATACTGACCCCTCCCCTTGTAGCTTGGGAGCAATGGGGAAAGGAAGTGGGATGGGAGTACTGAGCTTCCTGTAGCCAGGGGAGGTTCCTGGAGGTGGGTCTGACCTGGCTCTGGGAGTGGCCCTTGCAGGAGAAGAGGAAGTCCAGTCCCTCCCCAGACCTGCCAGGACTAGCAGCTGAAGCCCAGTGCATGGTAGAAGCCCCAGCTGGGGCGCCTCCAGCTTTGCCCTTCCTCGGCATATTTCACTGGGGAGATTTCATGGTCCATGATGTGTTTTTCCATGAGTGTGAATTTGGTAAACACACACACACACACACACACACACACACACACACACACACCACTTATCCAAACAAGTTTGAGATTGCTTCCACAACCACCACTGGTAGTAAGAAGGGACTGAGCGAGGTTGGGAGCTGCTCCACCCTCTTATGCCAGCCTGCAGTGGTGTGTGGCAACAGAGGATACTCAAGTCCCCCAGTGAGGGAAAGAGTTCTCTGAGAACTGTGCATGAGGTGTGTATACGCATACAGTCGAAAGCACATGTGAATGCACTCAAAGAACAGCTAAGTTTCTGCTTCCTAGGCATAGAGAGTTCTAGGGATACAGAGGACAGAACCAGCTTAGAAGCAGGATGAGATTCTATGAAGCTCTGAGGAGACACTTATGTGAATACAGAAAGAAAAGCATAAATAAGGACAAAACCTGTTTATTCAAATAAAGTGGAACAGAAGAACAAAATAAACTGACAATTTCAAAACTAGGTAATTCTCCATAAATCCCACGTAACTGGGAATTTTGACACACCACTATCTCAGCAGGGTTCCACATGTTCTTTCGATGGCTGAACTGATAAAAACAACATTGTTCTTTCAATCTTCCAGTATCCTCTGTTTCGTTAAACAAATAGCTTCCCCTCTACTTTTTAGACCGAGTACTGCTTTTCTTCTTCACACTCTTCTAAAACAAAACAAAACAAAAAAGTACAATGATTAAAGCATGGTCTCTGTAACAGGCAAACTTTATGTAACCACATTTATCCTTCCCACAGTCATTCAGGATCTGGCATTCAGAGGTCTAAGCTGCCATATTCCTTTGGAACCATTTTTGAAGAAGCAAAAGTTTGTACAACATGGAAACATTATTTGGTAAACTTACCAGTTTCCGTGTGAGATGTATTACTATTCCAAAACATTTCAAAAGAGACCTCAAGCTAAGCCCTCAAGTCAGGACATTTGATTTATTTCTTTAGATTTATAATAAGGGTCTCATTATTCATCCATCTTATCCCTTAGAAAACTATTGCAACATTAAAATATAAATAATCACAAAGTCCAGGATTACTTGAGATATAAATAAATAAATTGACAATACAAAATCCTCATGCCTCCAAGCCTCAGCCAGTTGCATAAACAACCTTAATATGTCCCTTGTGAGAGTGCTTTGGGATATTGTATCACATGCTCACATACTGGTTTTCAAATTTCATAGATCATTGCACATTTTTTCTACGACCGTGTGTGTGTGTCTATGTATAGCATCTTGCAATGCATTTTTTCACTCTTGAGTATTTACACTGATTTAGTTGTAAAATTTCAAGTATAACTTGATTCTCTTAGGTCCCAATCCAGTAAGTAGCTCCATTAGGGAGAATCCCACCCTATCCCCAGTGAAACTCGTTGCCAGGGGATGTTGTGAAGGCCAAAAGTATAACCGGGTTCAAAGAAGAACTAAATAAGTTCATGGAGGATAGGTCCATCAATAGCGATTAGACAAGATGGTCAGGGATGCAACCCCATGCTCGGAGTGTCCCTAGCCTCTGATTGCCAGAAGCTGGGAGTGGATGACAAAGGATATCTATCAACAATTGCCTGTTCTGTTCATTCTGAAACATCTGCCACTGGCCACTGTCAGAAGACAGGATACTAGACTAGATGGACCATTGGTCTGATACAGCATGCCCACTCTTAAGTTCTTAAGTTCTTTGAAGAGCAACTAGCAAAAGACCCAGAAGTTAACAGCAAAAAATTGTTAAGTACATCAGAAGCAGGAAGCCTGCCAAAAAATCAGTGGGGCCACTGGATGATTGAGATGCTAAAGGGGCACTCAAGGAAGACAAGATCATTACAGAGAAGCTACATTCATTCTTTGCATCAGTCTCAATGACTCCGGATTGAACATTCTCAGTCAGACTGCCAGCACCATAAACTCCCATGGCATCTGAACGCCAATCTGAGATCTTTGCTCAAGTACCAGCAATGTGTCATCAGAACTTAGTTCACAGTTCTGCTGATGTGTGATTTCTCATAGTGATGTTGTCTCTGCTGGGCTATGAAGGGCCACAGAGTAAAAACTTAGTTTGGTCAGGAACATCTTTTGCTGTGGCTGGATATACACAGGAAACAAGTCTATTAAGTAAGAAGGACCTGTTTTTACATAGTCAGTTTTCAGATGATCATTTCCTAACTCAGAGTGTTGAATCCAGCATGGGGGAATTTTTTATTATACCTCATCATGAAAAAGAAAAAGAACTCATCACAGAACTCAAAATTAATGGTAAATTAGGTACAAGAGATCATGACTTGGTCTCACTAATAATGTGCAGACAGAATAAAGTCCAGACCAGTCACATATATATTTGATGCTTTTGTAACCCTTCTGCCGGGTGGAGCCAGGAGCAACAAGGGCCGGATTCAGTATCTAAGTGTTCCTTTTCAACAATACTACAGAAAACCGGCTCGAGCCCCCACCCAGTGACCTGGGATAATTACACACCATCCCTGGGTGCCTGTAGGAGGCAATACTTCCATTCTTGCAAGCACAGAGTCTGAGCGTAGCAAAACTTTTAATAAAAGGAGGAAATTAACTCAGCATTAATTTGGGAAAACACCGCAACTAGGGATCATAAACACAAACCATGAGCAAAAGACCCGCCCCCAAGTAAGTAGGGCAGTGTTCTTTTCTCCTCAGAGTCTTAAGTCCAGCAACCCAAAAGTCCTTTTAATGTTCCTGTCCCTTCTCTGTACCCCACTCACAGTTGCTGTCCTTGGCCAGCCCCAGAGTCCAGAGGTTCATCCGCAGAGTTCACCTCCCACCCTGTGTGGAAGGCAAGGGGGGTAAGGAGGCACCTTACACACTGCACTGCATGGGAAGTTGCTCATTGCCCCAACGGCTGATTGGCCACACCTCTGTGGGGCTCTTCTCTGGCCCTCTCCACCAGCCACCCTGCTGGCCGCTTGCCACATCTCTCCACCAGCTGCCCGGCTGGCCACTTGCCAAGATGTCTTCAGGCCCCCCACACACACTTAGCACAGCTCTCAGAGATTTCAGCTGTTAGTGGGGGAGCCTCACTGCTGGTGCACACTGTGCAGTCTCTTGCAATAGAGACACTCTCCCAAAGTAGGCCTAATACTTAGACCTAGGTATCAGTGATTTCAGATTTGCAGTATGTAACAAGACTCTCAATTGAGTCTAAATTAGCTCTTATTATACCATGGGGAGAGAGAGAGAGAGAGAGAGTGAGTGAAAGGGTCAAATGGTGTCTAGGACCCTTAAACATCTCCAGAGATGTACCACCTCCCTGGGTGATGCTTGCATATATTAGTTCAAACTGGATTCTCCAGAGGCCAACAGACAAAGAAAGGACTTTTGGATAAATAGCCTGAGTTTAAACTGACTCAGGGATTTCTTTCTGATCCAGTAAATGGACAGGACCTTTTGTCCCCAGTGGGTGGGGGTAAGATTTGGAAGGACTGATACCTGTCATTGGGGTGGAGTTGCAGTGGGGTGACCACTGGGAAGATTTTTAGCATGTGTCTGTTAGTTCTTGTATTATTTTAATCTGTGTTTTTAGTGCTTTCACTTTAAGAATAAATGTGCTTGCTTAGAAAGCGTTGTGTGGTAACTTAGAACTGTGGACAATTACAATAGTTCATAGCCTCTGAGGAGAAAGCAAAGTGCAGACACAGGCCAATTTAGGCCTTCTGGCTTGCCGAGGAACTCACAGTGTAGACAGGGAACAGTGCGGCCTAAAAAAACCCCGGTCAGGATTAAGAGAGATGTAGGTCTCTGCCCAAGAGAGATGATGGCTGAAGAGCCAGGAGCCTACAATGGGTGCCATTGCTGGACAATGAGGGGGAAATACAGATGCAGTTGCCCTAAACAGTGACTATTTTTATTTAAAATCTAGAAAGATATAAAATTAACATGGCACACATCAAATGGATTAAAAGCTGGCTAATGATTAGGTCTCAAAAAGTAATTGTAAATGGGGAATCATCAAACGGGTGTGCGTCTAGTGGGGTCCCACAGGGATCAGTTCTTGGGTCTAATTTAACATTTGTATTAATGACCTGGAAGAAAATATAAAATTATCACTGATATAGTTTACAGATGACACAAACATTGGGAGAATAGTAAATAACAAAGAGGACTGGTCACTGATACAGAATGATCTCGGCCACTTGATAAGATGGGCACAAACAAACAGTATGCATTTTTAATATGTCTAAATGTAAATGTATATATCTAGGAACAAAGAATGTAGGCCATAATTACTGAATGGGGGATTCTATCCTGAGAAGCAGTGACTCTGAAAAAGATTTGGTGATCATAGTGGATAATTAGCTAAATTCCTTGTCCAAAAAAGCTAATGTGATCCTGAGATGGATAAATAGGGGAGTCTTTAGTAGGAATAGAGTGGTTATTTTACCTCTGTATTTGGCACTAGTGCAACTGCTGCTGGAATACTGTATCAAGTAGTCAAGAAAGATGTTAATAAACTGGAGAGGGTTCAAAGAAGAGCCACAAGAAATGATTGAAGCATTAGAAAACATTTCTTATAGTGATAGACTCAAAGAGTTCAATATATTTAGTTTAACATAGAGAAAATTTAGGGGTGACTATACGTATCTACACAGGAAAGAAATATTTAATAGTAGGCTCTTTAATTGATCAGAGAAAGATATTACACAATGCAATGGCTGAAAGTTGAAATGACACAAATTCAGACTGGAAATATGGTGTAAAGTTTTAATTACTTTCACTGTTAACTATTGGAACAACTTACCAAGGATTCCGGTGGATTCTCCATCACTGACTATTTTAAAATCAAGATTGGACGTTTTTCTACAAGATCTGCTCTAGGAATTATATTTGGGGGAAGTTCTGTGTTATACAGGAGGTCAGACTAGATGATCACAATGATCCCTTCTGACCTTGGAATTTGTGAATCTATGATTTACTCAGAGTAGTTTTGATAGTATTTCTTAGTTATTAATTAAAAAAATAAAAATGAAATTCTATAATCTGGATCTATTTTTAAGACATTTCAAGGGTCTCCTGTCCCGAACATGGTGCAAACTCAGTGAGGCAATAGGCCTGATTCTGAACTGAATTCTACTGTTATGAATCCAGAGTTTCTGTCATGCTACGCCCATGTCAAAGCTGATTTTCACTGAAAAGCACTTCTCTCTAAGGACTGTTTTCCTTCCAAATATCAACTTGCTACCCCAAAATGTTTCTGTGCTACAATGTAACACTGACAGATGCCGGTTGTCAGCGGGCGGGATTGAACATGGGATCTCTAGAGCTAAATGCATGAGCCTTTATTGCATGAGCTAAAAGCCAAATGGCACTGAGCTAAGGCTGTAGAACAGACTCATTAATCTTTCTCGCTCTCTAAGTGGTCTCAGTGCCACTAGATAGGACAGAACACCATACCCAGGAGGTGTGTAGGTTACAATCACTGTTCAGAGAGATAGCTTGCAGTGATTTTCTGTGTTGGGAAAGTATATTTCACTCCCATTCTCCTTGTTTGTAAAATAGCTCAATAACTTTTTTGCTTACAATTCAACAAAACAAAACAAAAACAAATCAACTAAAATAAAAGCAAACTGTGGGCTTCAAAAATTTCATCCCCAAAAATGAATGTTATGGAAAGCTAAAATGAACTAAAAATAAAAGATTAAGATGGAATGGATTTGGGAATCTTATCTGTAGTAGTTGCAATACTGGTGCTCCTCCTGTCATATTCTGGTTTTATTATTTTCAGATATGCATGATCATTTTTCAAATTAGAAAAAAAGGAAGAGAAGTTTTGATTATCTTCCAGACTAGAAAATGCTCATATGCTCTTCACATATTAGAGAGTAACTGGAGCGATATATTTGAAAAACACTTACTGTGTCTGCAGCACCAGAATCACCTTGTGTTGCCTGTCTTTTTCTGGAGGACCTACGATACAAACCACATACTATTTAGACAATACAGTTTGTGAACAAGCTGAAATTGTAATTATTATGCATGGTTTTGAGAAGACGCTTATTAAAATCTATCAAACCAGCTGTGTTACATGACAGCCATGCAGAATACAATGCCATCCACTGCCTCAGGAACAAGTCTGATACCATAATCAAAAAGGCTGACAAAGGAGGTGCTGTCGTCATCATGAATAGTTCGGAATATGAACGAGAGGCTGCTAGGCAGCTCTTTAACACCACATTCTGCAGGCCATTACCCTCTGATCCCACTGAGGGTTACCAAAAGAAACTACACCATCTGCTCAAGAAACTCCCTGAAAAAGCACAGGAACAAATCTGCACAGACACACCCCTAGAATCCTGACCAGGGGTATTCTATCTGCTACCCAAGATCCATAAATCTGGAAATCCTGGATGCTCCATCATCTCAGGCATTGGCACCCTGACAGCAGGATTGTCTGGCTATGTAGACTCTCTCCTTGCCCTATGCTACCAGCACTCCTAGCTATCTTCAAGACACCACTGACTTCCTGAGGAAACTACAATCCATTGGTGATCTTCTAGAAAACACCATCCTGGCCCCTGTGGATGTAGAAGCCCACTACACCAACATTCCACACAAAGATAGACTACAAGCCGTCAGGAACAGTATTCCTGATAATGTCACGGCAAACCCAGTGGCTGAACTTTGTGACTTTGTCCTCACCCACAACTATTTCACATTTGGGGACAACGTATACTTTCAAGTCAGTGGCACTGCTATGGGTACCCGCATAGCCCCACCATATGCCAACATTTTTATGGCTGACTTAGAACAATGCTTCCTCAGTTCTCAACCCCTAATGCCCCTACTCTACTTGTGCTACATTGATGACATCTTCATCATTTGGATCCATGGAAAAGAAGCGCTTGAGGAATTCCACCATGATTTCAACAATTTCCATCCCACCATCAACCTCAGCCTGGACCAGTCCACACAAGAGATCCTCTTCCTGGACACTACAGTGCTAATAAGTGATGGTCACATAAACACCACCCTATACCGGAAACCTACTGACCGGTATACTTACCTACATGCCTCCAGCTTTCATCCAGACCACATCACACAATCCATTGTCTATAGCCAAGCTCTAAGATACAACTGCATTTGCTCCAATCCCTCAGACAGAGACAAACACCTAGAAGATCTCTATCAAGTGTTCTTAAAACCACCTGCTGAAGTGAAGAAACAGATTGACAGAGCCAGAAGAGTACCCAGAAGTCACCTACTATAGGACAGGACCAAGAAAGAAAGTAACAGCACGCCACTAGCCGTCACCTTCAGCCCCCAACTAAAACCTCTCCAGCACATCATTAAGGATCTACAACCTATCCTGAAGGACGATCCCTCACTCTCACAGATCTTGGCAGACAGGCCAGTCCTCGTTTACAGACAGCCCCCAACCTGAAGCAAATACTCACCAGCAATTACACACCACACAACAAAAACACTAACCCAGGAACCTATCCTTGCAACAAAGCCCATTGCCAACTCTGTCCACATATCTATTCAAGGGACACCATCGGAGGACCTAATCACATCAGCCACACCATCAGGGGCTCGTTCACCTGCATATCTACCAATGTGATACATGCCATCATGTGCCAGCAATGCCCCTCTGCCATGTACATTGGCCAAACCGGACAGTCTCTTCGCAAAAGAATAAATGGACACAAATCAGACGTCAAGAATTATAACATTCAAAAACCAGTCGGAGAACACTTCAACCTCCCTGTACACTCAATTACAGACCTAAAAGTCGCAATCCTTCAACAACAAAACTTCAAAAAAGACTCCAACGAGAAACTGCAGAACTGGAATTAATTTGCAAACTGGACACTATTAAATTAGGCTTGAATAAAGACTGGAAGTGGATGAGTCATTACACAAAGTAAAAACTATTTCTGCCTGCTAATTTTTCCCCTGCTGTTACTCACACCTTCTTGTCAATTGTTTGTAATGGGCCATCCTGATTATCACTACAAAAGTTTTTTTTCCCCTTGCTGATAATAGCCCACTTTAATTGATTAGTCTCATTAGAGTTGGTATGGCAACCCCCATTTTTTCATGTGTGTGTGTGTGTATATATATATCTTCCTACTGTATTTTCCACTGCATGCATTTGATGAAGTGGGTTTTAGCCCACGAAAGCTTATGCCCAAATAAATTTGTTAGTCTCTAAGGTGCCACAAGTACTCCTCATTCTTTTTGCTGATACAGACTAACATGGCTACCACTCTGCAACCTGTCTTAATGAACCATGTAATCATATTTCCGTATTTCAGATTAAACCAGTCTGTGTGAATGGGTTGCTCTTTCACCTTCAGTAACTGGCACCAATTTGCAAATGCTGCCTTCTGCCAACCTCTATCTCTCTGGCATTCCTCACTCCAGGTTTTCCACAGCACTTCATATAAACTTTGATCCCTGAAAGGGGACTGAGGCTAAATTGAGGTTTGGCCAAAGGGAAAAATGCCAATAAACCCACCGAAGGCACCAGAGCAGCCTACCAACTGTGGAAGACTTCAGGCAGAAGGGAAACTGTGGCAGTTGAAGTACCCAGTGCTAGATCAGATAAGATGCTCCTACATCCTACAGCCAGCATAGTTAAGGATAATAAGAAGGAGTTTTGAAAATATATTTAGAATAAAAAGAATCCAGACAATGGTATTCGTCCATTACTAAATGGAAATTAGAGAATTATCAATAATAAAGCAGAAATGGCAGTTATGTTCAATAAATATTTCTGTTCTATATTCACGTAAAACAAGTATACAATATCATCATATGGTGATAGCAACACTCTTTCCATTCCACTAGTATCTCTGGAGACTGTTAAACAGAAGCTACTAAAGTGAGCCATTTTAAAATCAGCACGTCTGACAATAGTGCCTCATTACCAAGTTCCGCATTGGATCTGGTAGCCTGGATCAAGGCACAGTGCTTAGAAAATGTATGTAATGGAGCCCATGTAGGCGCCCTAAATATCTCAGATACTGGAACGTTTTTGAGTAATGCAGTGGATATTGCTTGTCATCTGGTAGAATGTGCTATGACCCTTTAGAGGAGTTGAGCACCAGCTGAATCATAGCATGTGGTGGTACACCCAGAGATGCCCCTCAAGAATCTCTGAGCAGAGATTGTAGACTTTCTGGATTTGTCTCTGATGGATACGAAAAGTCTAGGTGATCTGCAAAATTGTTTGGTCCTATCTAGATAGAAGGCTAACATCTAGGGTATGAAAAGAGGTTGACACATATTTTTTGGGGAAAACATCGGTAGATGAATGGACTGGTTAAGATGATATTCTCATAGTACCTTAGGTAAGAATTCAGGGTGTGGATGTAAAGAGATCTTGTCCTTGAAGAACACCTGAGGCCCAAAGTGATGGCTACTAAGAGGGCAGTCTTCATATAAAAGTGAAGATGCCATTGCTTCAAATACTGGTCTCATGAGATATTAAGTACCAGACTGAGGTCGCCAATTGGAGTGGGGTCCTTAACTTGGAGGTAGAGGTTCCCCAAACTTTTAATAAACTTGAAGATATAGAGTGAGAAATATAGAAAACTGTGCTATTGGACGATGAAAGGCTGATACTGCAGCCAAGTGAACTTTATTTGAGCTAACTGATAATCCTGATTTCTTTAGGTCCAACAGGTAATACAGGATCACTGACAACGACGCAGATCCTGGCAGATGTCAGAGATATTGACACTAGTTGCTGAATCTATTCCACTTCTGCAGGCAAGTAATTTGGGTTGACTCACCTCTACTGTTCAGTAACACTTGTTTACTTCTCCAGAGTAGGTGGATTATAACCCTGTGACTCACAAGGAGCCATGCCCTCAGGCAGAGGATATATAAGTTAGGGTGAAGTACATGACCTGCTTCCTGGGAGAGGAAATGGGGAATGATCGAAAGTTTGGATGGACACGTAGCTGAAACTGGTAAGGACACCAAGCCTGTCTCAGCGAGGTCAGTACTATAAGTATAATACTGGCATTGTCCTGCCTGATCTTGTTCAACTCCCTTAGTCTTAGCAGTGTTGGAGGAAACACATAGAATAGTCCCTTCATCCATGACAGGAGAAAGGCGTCTCCCAAAGAGTGGTGGCCTAGACCGCCTCTTGAGCAGAATAGAGGACACTTACTGTTTCTTGAGGTGGCAAACAGATCCACCTCTGAAAGTCCCCACTTTAGGAGCTGTGTATTCCTTGGGGAATTCTGTGCCAAAAAATTAAAAATTCTGCAAAATTCTGCATATTTTATATGTCAAAATAACGCAATATAATCACTCCAGTTTCAATTAATTTGGTAATTTATCTCAGAATATCTATCAACAATACAGACAAGAGCAAAAAAGATTCCCCCAGGAGTAGAGAGTTAAAGAAACCCCTATAACAACACAGTTCCAGTTGGAGTGTGCTTGAGGGGGCTGTGTGGGGCCACGGGGCCCAGACACCTGCAGTCGCAACCCCTCAGAGCCCAGCTAAAGGGCAACCCTGACCCAGACACTCACACCCCCATCCCCCAAGAGCCGAGCCATGGGGCACCTCCTGGCCCAGACACCAATCTCCCCTCCCCACAGAGCCTAGCCGCAGGTCAGCCCCTGACCCAGACACCAGCACCCCCCCTACAGTGCCCATCCATGGGGCACCCCCCCAGACACCAGCCCTCTCCTCTCTACAGAGCCTAGCTGTGGGGCAGCTCCCAGACACCAGCCTCCCCTCCCAAAAGAGCCCAGTCCTGGTGCAGCCCCCAGATGTCAGCCCCCCACTCCCCACAGAGCCCAGCCATGGGGCAGACCCCAGATGCCAGTCCCCCTTTCTCCACAGAGCCCAGCTGCAAGGCAGCCCCCAACCCAGACACCAGCACCCTCAGAGCCTTTATTCCCCCCCAACTTCTTTACTGAACTGCCAGGGGACATGGTGTGGTGGAGCCCTGCCCTTCCTCACCATTTGCCAGAGCTAGCTGGGTCTCCGAGGTCCTCTCCCCTCCTGGGAGAATGAGGATCAAAGAGTGTGCACCCTCCAGCCACACCAGGCTGGGTGCTCTGCTCACTGCAAGCTGGGCTCTGCAGAGTCCAGAGTCAGAAATTCTGCAGGAAAAACAGGGAATTCTGCATTCTGCAGTAGCACAGAATTCCTCCAGGAGTAATACAATGGAGAGTTTGAGAGGCCAGATCCCATTCATAGTCCTGGGAGAAGCACCTGCTGAGAATATCTGCTGTGGTGTTTTGAACACCCAGAAGGTAGACAGCTGAAATCTGGACCTCGTGGGCTATACACCAGTTCCACAGCTTTGTTGCTTTAGCACATGGAGATGGGGACCTTATTCCTCCCTGTTTATTGATGTAGACTATGCAGGCCACATTGTCCATCATGATCTAATTGATTTGCCCCGATGAGAGGTGAGAAATGATGGCAAGCATTCCTGACTACCCAGGAGTTCAAACAGGTTGATGTGGAGATTGGTTTCCTGAGGTCACCATCTGCCCTGAGTTGTGAGAGTACTGAGGTGAGCTCCCTATCTCAAGAGAGATGTATCCGTTGTGAAGGGTGTTGTTGGAGGTGGGCGAATGAAAGGAATGTCAGCACAGACATTGAGTTGATTTTTCAACCCATCTAGGACGAATAGTTTTGCATGATCAGTCACGAAGGTGCAGGCTGCCATATGACCCAGGAGCTGTACACAGTTCCTTACTGAGGTTCATGGACTCCCCTGAATGGTCCTGACTAGATATGCTAATGTTATGAAACCGTCTGTGAGCAGGTAGACCCTGGCTGTCAATGAATCCAAGTATGCCCCTATGAATTGTATTTTCAGTACAGGGTGGTATGTTGGTACTTGGGAAAAAGACGGTACAGAGGACGAGTGGGATACCGAAAGACCCTGCATACCTATGAGCAGAGGAGACTTGGGTTCATCTGAGACAAAGAGGTCTTTAGGGAAGCTAAACTTCTCCAGGACCAGAGGTCAACTGAAAAGAGGGGAGACCAAGCTGAGAGGGGTCAGTACCGGTGCTACTCTGGTCTTTGTGGGCGTCTGGCAATCTAACTGCACAGTAGTTTTCTGTGATCCAGAAGCCATGGATGGTGTGGAGGGTGCAGAGGTCAGTACTGAGACTTTAGAAACATCAGAGTGTCTCTTGTATTGCTACAGTCACCCATCTCAGGCCAAGACCATTGAGCACTAACTGAGGGCAGGTCATCTGATACCAAAAAGGCATCGCTATCAAAAATCTCCAATCAAAGGCATGTTCACACCTGAAGTGGAACACTCATAGGGTCATTACTTGAAAAGAACAAAAAAATCCCCAAACAGGACAAAGGGACAAAGGTCAGATAACAGGGCTTTAAAAAGGACTGCCAGGAGGGGAAAAAAGGAAGGCTATTGCACGGTGTAGCAGGATGCTGGTGCAAAAGCACCTAATTAGCCCCTGCCCGGTCAGGTCCAATCAGGGGAAACAGATTGGGGCTGACAGAAAAGGCCTGATGCCAGTCTGAGGATTGGCAACACCTGCTGGCCTGACAAGCCAAGGGCTATAAAGGCTGGGAGGGAGCCAGAAGGCAGGGGGCAGCCAGGGAGGGAAGTGGAGGCCTCCTAGCTGAAGGCTGTCTCTGCCTGTAAAGGAGGTGATTAATCCTGTAACGCTTGTATATAAATAGACACTGGTGGTGGGACAACCGTAAGTAAATAAAGACGCGGGTATTGCGCAACCCTGAAGACTCTCTGAGCCTTATTGGGGGCAGCAAGCAGGCCCCAGGAAGAGGGCGGCTCGTGAACCCTGTTACAGAAGAACAGAAGTTTTGGGAATGAGACAAAGTGACTCGTCAGCCATATGACTGCCTTGGGGATGAGTAAGTTTTCCCCTAGTCAGGTTTCCCCTCTCCATAGCCTCACTGACCAGTCATTCAGGTTTTCAGGTGGCTCCTCTTTTTCTTGTGACTCAACCTTCTGGCCAAGTCACTCTTTAGTCTCACCCCTTTCAGGGTAAGTCAGCGTACACTCCAGTAACAGTCTGGCAGCCTTGTTCCAGAGTTCTAGACTGACTTTAGGTCCACTAGGCCTTATGACACTTATCCAGAGCCTTTGTTAGGGTTTCCCTTGGTGGTCTGGAGGGGAACTCAGTCCCACCCTCTACCCTAGGTTCCAGCCCTAAGGTCCACTTCCTCAGACCTCCTGCTTCTTCCATGGACGTCTTCCTACTGTGGCCTGCTTAAAAAATATTCTTCCCAAGCCCTTTTAAGGCCTCAATGGAAAGGTAACAAAGGAAAAACACAACAAAAATAGTCCTAACAAGTCCCTGGCCTCCCTCCTTTCAGGATATACCTGACAAGCCGTAGCCCAGCTCAGTATCCTCAAAGGCTACCTGGAAATGTTTGCAGAACCCCCTTGGCAGTGCCATCCTCTACAATACTCCTTTCGGTGAACTAGTGGGGAGAGATATGTCCACCTCCTATGGCTGGGTCTTTTTAAATTGAGCTTCTCCCTTTTTAATCTCTTGCTCCAAGATTGGCATGCCTTGCAGGTTCAGCATGATGGGGCTGCCTGAGGCCAAAACTGCATTTTAACCCCTTCCTGACTGGTATGGAGTGTGTACACTCCATCACATGCCAGGAGACGGGGAGAGATGGGCATGCTTTCATAGCGGGGACAAGGGGGAGGAGAATCCAGTTTGTGAATCAGTCAATGTCAGAAACAGCTAGCTTGGATGAAAAGGCTCCATGAATTTGAAGAGAAGTCACGAGCGGCAGGGGAAAGATTCTAGACACCACAGAAAACTCTGCCCAACCCCAAAGAAAATTCACAGTGGTGAGGAACATGACACAGGGAAACACTTTTTGGAGTGTCTGTTATTTTGTATAGATCTGGGTTTCTCATAGTACGAAGTAAAGAGTAGTGGTGTTTTGGAAAGCTGTGCAAAGTTTGTGTATGTCTGTTGGCTTTCACTAGAGGTACCCCTGAAGAGGTAAACTGTAAACCAGACAGCTCACCCTTTCAGTGGGATTCTGAGGAATGTGCAAAAGCTGTTGGGGAGACTGCACATTTCAGCACCTCGGCATTTGGACTGCAGGGGTCATCTCTGCCAAGAAAGGTGTCAGACTTGAGATCTGCTCCAGGAGGGTTGAGCTTAGGTACTGTGCCTCTAGCCACACAAAGCTAGGAACAGTACCTAAGCTCAACCCCGTCCCAGCAAGCAAAGGGCACGTGCGAATCAGTGTGGATTAGAACTGGGCAAAAAGAGGAAGTGTCTGTGTGTGTGTCTGGGAGGGGGGGTCTCTTTCTGTTAAAACTGTCGTGGTTTTGAGAAAATGTAATCCCAAAGCTGGACAGAATGTCAAAACCACCAAAAAACTGCAGAAAGACTTTGAAGAAAAATTCCACTTTGGGACAACCAAAACATATTTTTTTTAGCTCCCCAGCTACATTCAAGGAAGGCTCTAATCAATTTCACAAGCCCTGCTGCTGGAGAGGCAGAAAGCCCCTTCACTCTGCTTCCCTATCAATCCCCTCGAGTTCCCAGAGCAAGTAAGGTGCTGTCCTGGTGCTCTGTCTGTCTGTCCCCTAGAGCCAGTTGGGAACGTGGGGAGGCAGAGCTTCCGATGCTCTGCCTGCCTGCCCCCATGTAGTTATGGGAAAGATGGGAAGGTAAAGCACACCAGTGGTGTCCTTCCCCATCCCCTGGCACTGCGGGGAGATGGTGATTGATGAAGGTTTAGTTGTATCTGTACTAATTTGATGAAACATTTCATTCTGCCTAATTGACATTTACTGACTACACTCAGTTTTAGAAGAAAATTTCCAACACGGTCTAGTTTGAATTTTCTCACAACAGTCAGGAGAGCATCCAGCAGCCGGGAGTCCAACCAGATCTGTGGCAGTACCCTAGGCTAATAATGGACCAGTTAGTAAATATAACAGAGGTGCTTTTGCAGGTGGCCAGCAATGCATGGCAGGCTTACTGCCAAGTGTAACACTGGGGGAGCTGGGATTAGAAATAAGTGTCACAATCTTATCATACAGTGTAAACGTGAATGAAATTTTACTTACCTGCTAAAGACCCGAGCAATTTGAGCTCTTTTATGCACAGCAAAGCTGAGAACCAGAAGAAGAAGAAGGATGCTTCCTATTGCTATTCCCATAATGACAATGTCACTACTGGACACTTGGAAAGAAACAGACACAGAACATTACACTTTGTTTGCATTTAGGACTTACGAGTGAGTAAGTAACATTTCCGTAGAAACTGAGGCTTGTCCCTGTATGAAGTGTGCATGCATCACACACGCATCCAGCTATCTCATATGTACATTCTCTAACAATACTAGCAAAGAGGGCCTCCAAATTTGTTTTGTCTGCACAAAAGGTTCCAGCACTGCTGCTTGTTTCTGCTGTGCATTCTCCCTAATCATGAATACCATGTGTTGTCAACAGCTGGGTAGGCAGTGTAACAGTTACATGGTTGTCATATTGCACATGAATTTGGGATGTAATATAGCTGCCCCCACCCCCCAAAAAGGCCTTGAAGTTTCAGGCTGTATATGTACAAGCATCAGACCTTGGAGCAAGGAGGGAATACTTCTTTCTATATGGGACTAGAGTGACCACACCTAGAATTGTGTTCATTTTTCAGCACTACAGTGATGGAAATATATTTAAAAATTAGAGGGAGTAAAGAAAAAAATAACAAAACTATCAGGGATCTTGAGGGCTTGATTCATAAGGAAAATATAACAGAGATAAAAACTTACAGCTTGGTTGAGCAATGACTAATGGGGGACATGATAACAGTCTACAATTATGTACACATTCTCAACTGAGAATGATCTCTTTCTGCCAATCATGGTAATTCTACCAGAGTACCCCAGCAAATGCTAAGCTGCCACTGTGAGAGAGTCAGTCTCTCAAACACCTGTGTCCCAGGTTATATAGAGCTTTAAAGATCATACCTAACACCCAGAACTGCAGCCACAAATGAACAGATACCCAGTACAGATAACAAAACATTACTGTGATATGCCAATAGCTAACTCATTCAGTTCAAGAAGAGACCCACTGTACTCTACACCTACTACCTTCTGGGGGCAGATTCGGACCCACAGGAAGCATGGAAGCTACAGTGCAACTCCATGGTAAAGGAATATATGGGCCAGACAGGGTCCCCCCAGTGACCATCCCATGGACGTAGAGAAGCACTTCTCTATGGCTCTGGCACTAACACTCAAGGCACAACATGGGAAAAGAATTCTGGGAGATACATATACTGCAGAGCAACAGCCTTCACTCATGTATCTGGCTGCCTCCAGGTATCTCCATGATGTTAGCCGCACCAGAGTATGTGTAACTGCATATTTGTGCAGGAGAGAAGTTTCTGGAGGAGAGGCTAGGACTTGTTGTGTGGAGGGAGAAAGAACATTTATTGGCCTTAAAGTAACTGTGCTTCAGGATGTGTTGTCCCCATGTATTCCACTTCTGGTGTGCACGTGCCTCATGCACTCAAGACAAGACTCTTTTGGCCAGCACTGTCTGCTGAGGCTGTGTCTGCACCTATACCTGTCCAGCCCATCTCGCTCAAGGGTATCAAGGGTGGACTGGGCCAAACCATCCCTCAGCTCCTTCACCAGTACAGAACGCAGCTGTTGTAGGAGTCCATAGAAGTGGAGGAGGGCAGGTCATGGAAAACATGTGAACAACCCATCCTGAGGAAATACAGTTAGTGTATGCAAAGTAACTGTTCTTTCTTCTTTCATGTTTGCAGTATTGTTGTAGCCATGCTGGTCCCAGGATATTAGAGAGACAAGGTGGGTGAATCATTGTCTTTTATTGGGCCAACTTCTGTTGTTGAAAAAGACATACTTCTTCAGGAACTGAAGAAGAGCATTGGATAAGCTTGGAAAGTTGTCTCTTTCAACAACAGAAGTTGGCCCAATGAAAGATATTGCCTCACCCACCTTACTCTTTCAAGTAATTATCCACAAGCCGTGACTTCATAGATAGGAGGTCGGTGCTCAGAAACTACCTAAATAAAGACTGAAGGATAGCTTTGCCAAAGTGGGCATCAGATCTTGAGGCCTCAAATAGGGAATAGTCAGGGACTAGACTATCATTTCTCATCACATGGGGAGAAATGCTGTGAAGGTTAAATGAATAGTTCTGAGCTCTAGCACATTTATGTGAAAGGGAGTTTCTTCAGGAGTCTAGTGGGTTTGGGTCTGAATGTGGTCCAGGTGAGCTCCCCACCCAAGTGTGGGAGCATCCATCACCAGTTTCTTCGTAGGTAGAGGTGAAGAAAATGGTACTCCTTTGCATACGCAGAGAAGATCCTTCCACTAAGTTAATAATGAGAGAGGATTTCTCGGCAGAACTGCACCCTCGTGTCAATGTAATGTCTGTTGAGTAGATATAACAATTTCCCAATTTAACAATCCTTGCATGCAGAACAGGTAAATGCGAGCATGCTGTGTTAAATATATGCAGGGGCCATATGTCCAAGAAGTCTGAAACAGACTTTTCTCCAGTGTTTGAGGGTAAGCTGGCAGCTGGCTGAGATCTACTGTGGTGTTGAATCCATGCTGCGGCAGATAAGCCTTTGCTATTGTGGAATCTACTGCTATGTGAACTCTGTTCTCTGAGTTGAGAATAAAAATAATTTCCCCCTGTTGATTCCAAAGCCTAATGTGATGAAAAGTTGCAAGATCTGATGGATGGAGTCATTTACCTGCTTTGCTGATCTTCCTTGAATGAACCAATCATCAGTGTACAGGAATACCCATAGGCGTGAGAACTAGGAGTGTGGGGAGTGCTGCAGCACCCCCAGATTTTACTGCGAAAAGTTTGCTGGTGCTGTCAGAAAGAAATTAGCATTATTTTTCCATTCTTGAGAATCTCAGAGCTGTGCTGAACCGGTGTGGTGTGAGCAGTAATTACACTTTTTTCACATTGCTTTTGAACACAAAGGGTTCACAGTTTCCTTAGCTGGCTTTCAGCACCCCCACTATAAAATGTGTTCCAGCACCACAGGGAATACCTAGATCCCCTGATTTCTCAGGTGAGCAGCCACTACTGCCAAGCACTTGGTGAAAACACTTGGAGTGGTTGCTAGACTGAAGGGCAGGACTCTGTACTGATAGTTTTCGCAGTTGCTCTCGTCCCCTAACACCGCTACTCTACTTGTGCTACATTGATGATATCTTCATCATCTGGACCCATGGAAAAGAAGCCCTCGATGAATTCCACCATGATTTTAACAATTTCCATCCCACCATCAACCTCAGCCTAGACCAATCCACACAAGTGGTCCATTTCCTAGACACTACTGTGCTAATAAACGATGGTCACATAAACACCACCCTATACCGGAAACTCACTGACCGCTATACTTACCTACATGCCTCCAGCTTCCATCCAGGACACACCACACGATCCATTGTCTACAGCCAAGCTCTAAGATACAACCGCATTTGCTCCAATCCCTCAGACAGAGATAAACACCTACAAGATTTCTATCAAGCATTCTTAAAACTACAATACCCACCTGCTGAAGTGAAAAAACAGATTGACAGAGCCAGAAGAGTACCCAGAAGCCACCTACTACAGGATAGGCCCAACAAAGAAAATAACAGAACGCCTCTAGCCGCCACCTTCAGCCCCCAACTGAAACCTCTCCAGTGCATCATCAAAGAGCTACAACTTATCCTGAAAGATGATCCCTCACTCTCACAGATCTTGGGAGACAGACCAGTCCTCGCTTACAGACAGCCTCCCAACCTTAAGCAAATACTCACCAGCAACCGCACACCATACAACAAAAACACTAACCCAGGAACCTGTCCTTGCAACAAAGCCCGATGCCAGCTCTGTCCACATATCTATTCAAGTGACACCATCATAGGACCTAACCACATCAGCCACACCATCAAGGGCTCGTTCACCTGCACATCTACCAACGTGATATATGCCATCATGTGCCAGCAATGCCCCTCTGCCATGTACATTGGCCAAACTGGACAGTCTGTACGCAAAAGAATAAATGGACACAAATCTGACATCAGGAATCATAGCATTCAAAAACCAGTGGGAGAACACTTCAACCTCTCTAATCACTCAGTGACAGACTTGAAGGTGTCAGTTTTGCAACAAAAAAACTTCAAAAACAGACTCCAAAGAGAGACTGCTGAACTCGAATTAATATGCAAATTAGACACAATTAACTTAGGTCTAAACAGAGACTGGGAATGGTTGGGTCATTACACTAATTGAATTTTCCCCCCCCCCATGTTAAGTTCTCCTCACACCTTCTATGGGTCATCTCGATTATCACTTCAAAGTTTTTTCTTCCGCTGCTACTGATAGCTCATCTCAATTGATTGGACTCTTACAATTGGTATGCGTAATTCCACCTTTTCATGTTCTCTGTATTAATAATATCTTCTGTCTGTGTGTTTCACTCTATGCATCTGAAGAAGTGAGCTGTAGCCCACGAAAGCTTATGCTGAAATAAATTTGTAAGTCTCTATGGTGCCACAAGTACTCCTGTTCTTTGTACTGATAGTGAAAATTTCCCATTTGTAATCTCGGTGAACTGTGAAAATATGTGCTTTGCAGGTTGAGAGCTGAAAACCAGTCATGAGGAGAGGCTAGGGATACCATCCTGAACTTGAAATGGTGGGTGAAGGCACTGAGCCATCTAAGTCCAGGAGTGGATGCCAGTCCCCTTTCTCCTCCAGGACTGGAAAATAATGTGAATGTAATCCCCAAGGAACTTAACTAGGTTCCTGAGGCTCTGTGTGCTTGTAATTCAGGGAGAGACATGCTATCCCTGGGAGGAAGGGGAAACCCCAGGGCAGATTCACAGTCTGCTAGGCAGCAAAGAGGGTTTCAGAGTGTGGGGGGGAACCCTGACAAAGGTCTGACCTCCTGTATAGTACAGGACACTAACACCACTTGCCATCCCCACACCAAGCCCAGCAACCAGAATTAGACCAAAGTATTACGGGCTTCAGGAGATTAAAATATTGTGTATGTCACAGGCAGAGAAAAAGCTGTTAGAAACCTGTTCGGTAACTGTTGTTCTTTGAGATGTGTTGCACATGTCCACTCCAGTTCAGGTGTGTGTGTGTGTGCCAGTGTCCTGAACCCAGAGATGTTTCCCCCCACTGAGGAAAC